TGTGTGTGTGTGTGTGTGTGTGTGTGTGTGTGTGTGTATGTGTGTGTGTGTGTGTGTTGTGTGTGTGTGTGTGTGTGTGTGTGTGTGTGTGTGTGTGTGCGTGTGTGTGTTATTAGAGCTATTTGCCTATTATTATTTTATGGTATGTAATGTAGATACTAAGCTGCTGTCTTGACATTTCAATATACTCAATATATTCAATAGTGTAGGATGCGCTCGGTAAAAATCCCTATGCGCTACCCCTCACACACGGGGACGCTGCAGTGCTGCTAACGGACGCTAGGGTCGGTTGTGTACCACCATGGACGAGCGAGCGACCTATACGTGTATTTGGTATATTGCCCCACACCTCCTCCACCCAGCCTGTAAATTTCACTACGTGCATGTCTTTATAACATAGGGAAATATGTTTTTCTGATAATTGTAATGTAGATTGCTAGCTCCACCACATGAAATAATATATATCATTCAGTCGTCGCCTTGGCAATGATTTTTATTGCCTCAGCCTTGTTACTATTCACTATGCTGGCCACCTCGGCCCGAGTGCCAACACAAAGTGGTAACCCACTCAAAAAGCTAATATAGTTATTTCAACGTTACCACTTACGCATATTGAGATAGGTGGGACAGCTGGAGCCATCTGCACCTGTAACCTTCTCACCTGTTGCTAGTGATGACGTCATACCGTCCCGTCCGCTCCAGACGTGATGAACGCCCGTTTTGGTCGAGTTGAAAACACGAGGGTGAAAACTCTTGCGCTTGGTCGGCGCATCTAGGCGACAGGTTTGTACCGGACGGACAACCGCCGGGTCACGGGGTCATCCCGTCCCGTAAAGGAAGGGAAACCATAAAAACCTCCTCTCTGGCGTTCCAAAACGGGCGTTCATCGCGTCTGGCGTGGACGGGATGGTATGACGTCATCACTAGCAACAGGTGAGAAGATCTCTTCCCCCCTGTCCAGAAACGTGCTTGTAGGATTGTGTTGGGCCGGCAGTACACATCATACCCGGAAGCCTTGGGAACTTTGGAACTTGAATCTCTTTCTGACCACAGATACAATCTTTGCCTGAACTTTGCAAAAAAGGTTAGACAGTCGCCTCGCTTCTGTTGCTGGCTTCCTCCGACGCGGGGAGATCTGCACGGTCGACAGCTAAGGAACTCGCTCCAGTACTCCCAGGCCAGAGGGACCAAAAAGATACACCAAGAGTGCGAAGCCGATGTTGGCTAAACTCCTCAATGAACTGTAAACTGAACTGTTATGAACTGTTTTGACTTGAGAGCAGTCTCACATGCTGTTTTTAATGTCCTTGATGTCGAACCACTTCGCTTTATTCATAGTATGGAAAATCATGTCGTCAATTATTGAATGTTACTTGTATATACTTGTATATGTATTATATTAGCGTAGGGTGTTAGTTTTACTGAGTATGTGGAATGTAAAATTCGACGCAATTCAGTGTATACTGCAAGGCCGATTTGTATCGTGTTTTATCAATAACCATTACTACTACTACTACTACAAATTACATAAGATGTTACGTTAATAATGATATGTAGCATGTGTAATGTATACAGAACGGTAATGTCGGTACGCAGATCAATTCTTCCACGACGGTGTACAGAAAGTGCGAAATGTAACGAAATGGACGAAATGGAACGAAATGAATACCATCAATCTTAACGTTGCCGTTCGGACGTCGAGCGGACACTAACGTCGCCGTTCCAACGTACGAACGGCTTAACGTCTTTCCTTCATACATATTTCGTTTAATTTCGTTTCAGTTCGTTCCATTTCGTTCCATTTCGCACTTTCTGGGGTCCCTTCCACGAGAAGGGTTGTGGTAGTGCGCGGTAAAAAGGTGACGAACGTTTCGAGGTGTCCGGTTTCTCATAATCTGCTGTATCTGTATCTGTATAGCCGCCTTTCGGCGTAACACACCAGCTTCAACCGATTCTTGTACCGGAAATTTCCTCTACATTTGTACTGATGAAGAGTACCGGATGGTACTTGAAACGTTTACGCATTAAACTTTCAATTAACCAGTTAGAAAAGATTTAACGGCTTTATCAATTTATCTTTACCCTGGATAAGTAACCTTCACCAACGTTACATGAACAATCGCCAACCCATTATACTTGATTGCTTGGCTAGTAAACTCTCCTGGCAGTGAATTCTGTGAATTTGGCTAATCGCGCCAATTTTTTCAGCAAGTAAGCAAGTGTGTCTGTCAGATACTACTTATTGTGCTTTTCGTCTGACTTTTATCCTTCGCAATAGCCAGTTATAACCATGATGTCCGTATCATTTTTCAGGCTCATTATTTTCTACAGGGGACATATGAGTACAACATCAAATTGAATGTCTTAGTACGTCGAAAGAAATAGCGATCAATTCATTGCACTATTATAAAAAAATTCATGGCGATAGAAAACTGTTTTCAATTTTGTCGAGGAATGATCATCACCGTCATCGCCATTGATCCTCCATATTCTTAATATTTTGCAAAGGTCTATAACCTGCCCACTCTCCAGTCCAGGCGTGAAGACGCAGCAGTTGCACTCCTCAACCAGATGCGCTCCAGTGACCATCCGCTGCATCATATGGTCACAGATGACAGACAGACAGCGGCGGACTGGAAGAACTCTCAGGAAGCACCACCAACTCACACTGCCTCCTTGTAGAACCGAACGTCTCAAAAGATCGTTTTTACATCAAGCAACATCCCTGTACAACCAGACTCTGTAGTAACGATTATCAGAGACTGCTTAAACACTTGTACCAAATGGCATATGCGCTATTGTGAACCAGAATCTGTGTACTACAAACTTGTGTACTCGGTTCATATATCTGCAAAAACAAATCATAAACCAAATATAGACTTACTTACCTTAATACACTTGTATTCTTGTAATTTTACTAGCAGCACTGTGAACCGTGCAGATGATCCTACGCTATTCTCATATCTTTTAATTAAGATTTGACCTAGTACTACTAAATTTTAATATTTTATCAACGTAATATACGTTTCGTGAATCAATGTAATTTTATTGATAGGTGTTGCAACGTAATTTTCCTCATTTTATGTTAATTAGCAAAGGTATTTCAGACACCACTTCATGTTGTTCGTCTGCTATTTGCTAATAAAGTCATATCGATCGAACCACTAACTACATTCCTGCATGGATCTTGATCATGATATTCCTTTGTGTCTTAGAAAAAGATATACCAAACATCATATTTTCCAATTCACGTTTCCAGGGCTGCAGATAAAGATACTAGGGTGAGATAAAAAGAGGTACTGAAGGACGTGATGTTCCCTTAAATACTGATATGTTCATATGTACATTCAGTCAGAAAAATGGCGAGTTACAAAATTCGCAGTCATTTTTGTACCCGAAATCGTTCTTAAAGATAATATTACATATCATCATGAAAGTTCATCTGTGTTGGTAGTTACATGTTTAAAGTCAAAACTTTTGGTCCAACACAAAAATTCTCTCACCTAGAGCTTTCGACCAGTCACTCTAGTCTTCCTCAGTAGACTGACCCAGGGAAGCTTGTCACGTGTCTTCTTTGAAGTGTGACGTCAACACTGGGTCAAATGTATCTGGTAGACAATGTCGGCCCCCGTCGCGGTTCAATGTAGGGTGATGGGCCCTGATTTTTTGTGTTGGACCAAAAGTTTTAACTTTAAACACATTACAATATCAACTACAATATCGTAGCTGCGCCCTCTTAGCATCACCATGTGGCTGGCAATGAAGGCAGTTCGCAGTCAAGGGAAGCTCTCTATTTTTGGTCGTTTCGGCAAATCAGCATCCTCTATTCCCCACACCATGTTGTATGGATAATATCTATAGTGCAGAAGAGACAGATCAATGAACTGACATAGCATCTTAGCTTATTTTAGATTCTTTCACAACACCCCATACTTTTGACGCAATTTATCTGGAAGTCTGGTACGTGACAATGCAGTGCAACGTTAGAATTATAAAACTTTTTCCATGTGTTTCCTTCGTACACATCTAACAAAAACTCTGGTGCCATCCAGGTCAAGTTAACATTGTTTTCTATCAGACCCATTAGTTGGAATTCCTGAACCAGTTGTGTATCAAAGATAAATATCTGTGTCTGTGATGTCTGCTGTTATTGGCAAACTCTGTCATCACGCGTACACTGTTACACATGTGTGGATATATGGCATATACGGAGCTACCTCTAATATTTTTATATGTTACCATGTCAATAATTTTACTATAAAAATAAATTCGTCTAGAGTAAATACGAAAAACTTCCGTTCGGTTGAAAAGTAATAGCTGTTTAGCAGCAATACAATTTCTGTCGCCCAAAGAGTCAGCTGTCCCCGTGGTCTCAACATTCCAACTCCCAGACGTGTTCCACGTGCGAAGGAAATCACCTATTGGTATCCTTTTTCCCTCTAATTGTAAGTTTTGGTGATTTGATTAAGCTAGCTGGATCTAACAATGTAGGTTTCAAAATGATAGGTAATGTAGACTTTTGTTTTCGCTTCCGCTCTCCTGGACTAGGCTTTGGCTCTTCCATACTCGCCTGTTCAGTCAGTTCGTTGGAAGTGCGGTTGTCTAAAAGTTTCTTTTTTCTTTCACTCATGATTTTTCGATACCACCTTTGGAAAACACGAGCAGCAACTTCCTCTCTTCTCTTCACCAATGTTGATGATATCGGGATCTCTTTCATCTTATGTTCTTCTTCTGAACCAGGCACATCCTCTTCATCATCATCGTCTTCTTTCCCAACTGTACCTAAAACAAATTTGGTCAACGCTTTCAACAGGTGCTTGCTGTATATTCTCTCCCCTTGCATTATTGGGATATTCAGATAGGCTAATGTTATTTTGTTTGGTTTCTTGATTTGAAGAGGTGGTTCTAATTCGTTGACGAAGTCAGAGAGACGCTCGTATTGAATATACTCGGTGGCATCCGGATCGTAACGTTCCCACACAGCGTAGAACATCTCTACGTCATCCTCTGTCACCCCTCCCTCCTCAACCTCTTGTCGAACCTGCAAAATGCAATGAAAGACCTATATATAGAAACTTTATTTGCAAAATCATGCCCGAAGGCTAATTGCTTGTACAATCAAGTATAATACTCATTGCAATACAGTAACAGGAGACAGGTAACAATCTGTCTGGAAAAACTTCTACTTCTACCACAAATGTACTACGCTAGCTATTATGGGGTTCGACTTCTTCTTTGAAGACAGTGGATAATGAATAGTCCCACATTCTGCATAATTAGTGGGTTTTGTGATCTTGGTAGAAACGTATTTTTTTGGTGATCTTCTAAATGACGAAATGATGGAGAGATTGTTGTAACTGTCTGAAATAATCTGTTTCTTTTAGTCTCATAGTGAGGACACTGGCTAACAAAGAAATGTATTTCATTTTCCACTGCATTCATTGGACCATATTTACATGATATAAGTATGGTTGATTTATGAGTAGGACTCAACATATCACCATACTTACCGACAGAAGACCAACATTTAAAATTTGAGCTTTTTGCCACGAAATTGACGGGAGTAGTTTGAAGCGAACCCAACATACTGTACCCTCTCTGTCAATGAAACGAGAAGGAAGAAAAGGGGGAGAAGGAAGAAGAGAAATCTAATCTTCCTCTATTTCTTTTTCATCTTTAAAAAATCGATTTTGGCACGATCTCGTTCATTTGGTGGATTACGAATCTTGAGAACGTTGAAAAAATCTCCAAACGCGTACGGATGCATTACTGACTGGGGGCAAACGCACGTGTATTGTTGTCCTTGTGAAAGATAGTCCACATAATTTAAAGTTTCTTGAGTCAAAGTTGCAGAATTTGCAAGAATGGTTATATTCAATACAAATTCGTCTTGAAGTAGCGGGCAAAACCACGTTCAATGAAGAAAAACAGTATTCCCCATGTCTGGAGGGGGAGTCATAACTATTTACTATTAACCGTCGAATAGTAAAGTTCAAATATAAGACGTGGTAGCAGTTTGTAACGTTTTCACAGGAACTGAATAGATGTATTATCATGAAAGTTCATCTGTGTTGGTAGTTACATGTTTAAAGTTAAGACTTTTGGTCCAACACAAAAAATTCTCTCACCTAGAGCTTTCGACCAGTCACTCTGGTCTTCCTCAGTAGACTGACCCAGTTAGGATTTTAGACACTGAACTATTTCTTGAGAGGGGTGAAGGAAGCCATTTACATTAGGGCCCATCACCCTACCTTGAACCGCGACGGGGGCCGACATCGTCTACCAGATACCTTTGACCCAGTGTTGACTTCAAAGAAGCAACGTGACAAGCTTCACTGGGTCAGTCTACTGAGGAAGACCAGAGTGACTGGTCGAAAGCTCTAGGTGAGAATTTTTTGTGTTGGACCAAAAGTCTTAACTTTAAACACGAATAGATGTATGCTAAACATGGAAATAAGTAAATACCCACCTGACTGAAGTTATCCAGAATAATGGCAATGTACATGTTTATCACGATAAGGAAGCTGACCATTAGATACACCACCATATAAAATATAGCCACTCCGGAATTCCCACAGTCTCCATTGGAGGATGGTGTGTCCGCAGACGGATCACAGTTCGGAGGACCATCGTTTATAAGTGGGTCCAAGATCCCGTTCCAGCCGGCTGACGTAGATACTTGGAAAAGAGTTATCATGCTGTTTCCAAATGTCTCAAAATTGATAACATCATTCAGGCCGTTACTTTTTTTCACGTAAGCAAAGTTTGACATGCCAAATATGGCAAATATAAACATCACGAGGAACAGCAACAATCCGATGTTCAGAAGAGCTGGTAAAGATAAAGCCAATGCGAATAGAAGGGTCCGTATTCCCTTTGCACCACGAATTAGCCTGAGCACCCGTCCGATTCGAGCCACTCTGACCACTCGCAACAATGTTGGTGAGACGAAATACTTTGCGATGAAGTCAGCAAGTATTAGACCTGAAAACAAGAGAAAAACAAGTGTCCATAGGCGACAATTCTCCGTGAAGTTTTATATTTTGTAGTTACATGTACACAACAACACGGCATTCTTAACAGATGAACAAAGTCATCTTTGATAACATTATCTTTCAAAGTTTCATTTGCTAAGTGTTATTTTTTTTATTCCAATATTTCATGACTGGACATGGTGACGGCACACTCAAGTTATATCAGCTTATTTTATGCCGTCACCAACGCAGAGAACAAATACAGAACAATACTAATTTCCACTTGAGTTAAGTGGGAAAAGTCGTGTAAAGTGCCTTTCCCAAGGGCACAAGATCGGTGGCATGTCAGGACTCGAACCCAGGACCTCTGGGTTCCGAGTCGATCGCTCTGCCGCTACGCCACCCACATGATCCCACTTCGTTGTTTATTTGATACGATATCCTAGTAGGTGCAAACCATATCTGCTTTCAGAACCTCGCCTACGACACAGTTACTTAAGCTACGGCCTATCCCACGGGATTATGAAAATACAGGTGTTTCTGAAATGTGCATTTACTCCGATATGAAAGCTGCTACGGTAAAAAGAAAAAACATAAAAGGGTGCTTCTGGAATATTACATTGGCCACGAAAACAGCTACGGTAAATATAAACATACGTGCATCATCACGAGCATGCCTACGGACGACATATAAAATTACATGCCGATGAAACAAAGGGAACCCTGTGTGTTAGCTGCGAACACGAGAAACCGACAGAACACAATACTCCTGCAGGGGAGATACCTCCTTCATGGAGTAATAAAAATCACATTCCAGATATTGATAAGTCCTATGTTTTCACTGGTATGCATAATGGTGTCTGTTAATGTCGCACCCGCCATAGATTACATGTGTTACACGCTAATAAAGTACAGGAATTGTATAAGTTGTATGAGACATCTTACTTACCTAATAGTGACATCACTACAACGACGAAGTCAAAAATATTCCAGGGTTGCTTGAAATAGTACCACCGCTGTCCTACAATCTTTAAGACAGCCTCGAATGTGAAGACAGCGATGAAAATGATATTGATAAGTTCCAGCGCCTCTTTAAGCTTTTCACTCTGTCTGTAGTGCTCAATCATCATAGACACCTAAAAATGTAAAGCAAAATACTATATTTTGAAAAACCGCATTCACCAATTTCACACTTCCCATAATGCCTAGTAACGGTCACGGATATGACGTAAGACCACCCCCTCCCCCTTCCTCGATGTAATATTATGATATACGTAATGTGACCGTGCGAGTAGGAGAGTCTTCGGTAGAAGGTAGAACGATAGAAGGTACGTCATTTTCTCTAATTCCAACAAAAAGGCATGCGCTTTATACTAGAGAAATAATTCAAAACTTACAATAGTTCACCAGTTTGCCGATAGAACTTGTTGGAAATATTACATCGAGGAAGGGGGAGGGGGTGGTCTTACGTCATATCCGTGACCGTTACTAGGCATTATGGGAAGTGTGAAATTGGTGAATTGCATTAAATCAGCTGAAGCTGACCTTACAAACTAGACTTTAGGGTGCTATCAGGGAGATACCACAACTTTTTCACTTATCGCATATTCTGATTTAATTATTTCAAGAACTAAATGAATGTAAAAAAAACGCATATCTATGAGTATAAACAAGACCCCTGACTATCTTTCATGAACTCTTGAAAAGTGGCCGAAGCCCGACAAGTTTACTTTTGTACTATAAAATGAAATACATGTAGATGGCGAAATACGAGGCAAGGAGCTTTAAAGTTTTGAATACAAAAGAAAGTGATAGATAAATAATCTGACATGATTTATGTCGTGTATGAACAAAGTTCTTAAAACTTGGTATAAAATAACGCTTGCCTCGTATACTATTGGTAAATTCTGACCATGTAATGTTACCGTCCACTTCTGTATTCTAGTCCTTGCTTCCATATCTGTTTCCTTTTAGTGATATCATATCGTTCAACGTTGGTCAACAGTGGCGGATCTTTTGTATGGGGCGCCCCCATTTTCTGGGAAGAAATTAGCCACACATACACAAAAAATTGTATCTAATAGTAATGAATAAGTTTTAGAAATTAAATACGTCAGATTATTTACTTGCTACTCACGTTTGTATTTCAAAATTAATGTTACATGTTTTGTTTCATTCCATTTCTCACCTGCTGGGGTCTCAACTTTCAGTTTGGAAAATCAACCTTTCGACTCTCAAATACAGCCCTGTCAAAGTTTTATCCAAGGACATAGCTCTGAAATACCCTTGAATTAGAATCTAATTGTATCTTTACTTGCAATTTGAAATGTTTTTCTCACAGCTGAATTAGTTCTGGCAGTTTTGTGTCTAAAATATGGCTTGTGAATGTGGTGCCTACATTGTACTTGCTGATGTAAACACTCAGGTGCTGTATGTAGAACTGGGCATGTAACCGCCAGCCAATATCTTATGATACAAGCCAGAACATTGAAACCAGTGCTGTCATTACTAATACATCACATTCTGGGTTACCGGCAGATCTAACTTCTTTATGTGCAACCAGACAATTTCTTATCTGCTGTCTCATTTAAAAGTGTATTGAAGAGTAACTTTTACTTGACAAGCTAAACTGTCTTAGACTGGCCTCCCCCCCCCCCATGTACACTGCACGGCTGCCAGGACATTACTGAAGTCTGGTAGTTTATGTTATCTAATTTAAGTCGGCAGGGTTGGGTCATTATATAGTATTACTTTTTTCTTGGCGGGGAGCTGGAGCTTTTCTGGCCGGCTGCCTTCTCTGGCCAATTAATACCCTTTTTATACCGATTTCTACGATTTATTCACCCCGCAAACGAAGTCTGGTGGAGACTAAGTATTACTGGCCTCTGTTGAAAAAAAACTAAAAGATTCAGAAGAAGAGACCTAATAGATAAAACAACACTTGTAACAAACTCACCATGTTTAGGCAGATGAACACCATGATGGTGATGTCGAACTTCGTGTTCAACGCCGTGTCGTAGAACCAGCCTTGTACACAGTTCTGCAAGAGAGACAGTCAAATATCTCAACCAAACACTGGACTACACTACCAAAAATGCTTTTTCTTGTTTTTCTTTCTTCTTTTTTGTACAAAGAAAATGTATCTTATAGCAAGAAAATTATTCTTTCAACAGGAAATTTAAGAATCCCCGTAGCAAGAAAATTCAAGAAACACATGTATTTCTTACTGTAGCAAGAAAACGATTCTGTCCACAAGAAAATATTTCTTGAACTAAGAGCTAGCTGTTCTTGAACCAAGAAAACCATTCTGTACACAAGAAGAGATTTCTTATAGCAGAAAAAAAATACCGTAAACTTTCTAAAAATTCTTAAGATTCTTGTTGGTGAGCATGATAGTAGAAATATTTTCTTTTCTTAGGAAAAAAGAGGAATAAAATTCTTTGTGTAAGAATCAACATACAAAGTCTTTGAAGAATGTTTCTTGAATTTTCTTGAAAATCCCCCTGGCAAGAAAATATTTCTCAACATAAGAAACATAAGTGAATTAAATTCATTATCTAGTAGTTGAGAAAACGTATATAAGCTTGTGACATGTACACCAATTTTCACAATATCACTGCAAAATGATTGAAAGACCCACGCTAGTAATGGCCACCTTAATTACTGAGCGCATTGCAACACGGGTTTGTGTATTTAGTGACTCGGAGGAGACGTACAGACATCGACAAGAGACTTGCATGCTATAGTTATGTAGTGGAGGAATGTTTGTACTCGAGTGGTTTGTTGTAAAATGTTACACTCTATGGGGTGACATCCTTGTGGGTAGAAAATTATAAGAAATGTAAAGGTTGTTGAGAAAAATCCAGAAACAAAAAACTTACAACGAAACGGAATTGAATGTGCGATTTCTTACCGATGGCCTTGGTATCGCTTTTTTGGCGTTTTTAGATCCAAGCTTCTTCATGGCCTTCCTGTATTTTTTCTGGTCCTCCGTCATAAAAAGGTCTTCTGAGTCACCTCCCTCCCCTGAGTAGGCAAAGCAAATAAATCATGTGAGCAAACGCACATTCTAGTCTGATTTAAAACATCGTTTATGAGTTGGTATGTTTCTCTTTTCTCGTGTCAAGAGCGGGTCAGGGCTATTTTTCTTCTGTTGCCTGCTTATGTACTACAGATGCACCACACAGCTGTTGTAGTGACGCCATTGATCTGCATTCAAATCAAACACGACTACGGACTACGTATGCTGGAAAAAGAATCAAGCCCTGATTGGCGCATAAGAAAGGATGGAAACGAAATAATGTTTGTGGGACGGCAAAAAGTAGGACTACCCTGTTTCATTGATTAAAAAGTATACATGCTTTTGTCAGTGGGAAAGATCTTATACCTTCGTTTCTATACCTTCGTTTCTATGTCTTGCACAGTTTGCACGCGAAAAACTTGAGTTGTGGGAAACATATCAAAGCCATGATATCATGGTATCTCTCTCTCTCTCTTTCTTTCTCTGTATATACATTATGTGGAAAACCTCAAGTAACATTTTGTGTACATATAGTAGCAAGTAACAATTTGTGTGTATATATATTTAGATTTATATGTTTAGATTTAGATTTATATATTTAGATTTACATATAAAGCATGTATGCATACATAATGTGAAAAACCTCAAGTAACATTTTATGTTATATGTAGATTAGTGAGTTATATGTGGATTATACAATTAGTGAGCAATGAAATGGAAATGCTCTCTACTAGCCGTCAAAGCATGGCCGTATAACTGATACATATACTTCACACTAGGAGAAACACAGCACTCTATACAGTCTATACAGAAGGTATTAGTAGTTTTCTATAGTACAGGCAACTCAGGTAATCCCACGTTTTAATATTACCTGAATGTCATTTTAAGAATAATACCTTAAAAGGCCGTCCACACATGAACGTTGTTATCAAAGACAAAAACGAATGCCATCGTAGTGGCTTCTTGTATGTGGCTGGTGCAACTGTCCATGAGATACCTTTGATAATTAGGCAATAAGGTATCCATAGCGAGTCTGGTGACTATATACGAATGTAGCAGAAGGCGATAAATGTTACTCAGCATCGAAACAGGAAGTCACAACCGTACACCTCTGGAGCAAAGGATTTGCCAATTTTGTAGCTCAAACAAAGTAGAAGATGAGGCCCACTTTATTTATTGTAGTTTATATAATAATGAAAGAAATGATCTTTTTAGATATATTACAAGTACGTTTCCATACTTCCAATACTTGTCTAATATTGAAAAATTCATCTTTCTTATGCGCTTTGATCATCCTGTACTATACAAACCCGTTTCAAATTATATTTTTAACATCACTAAGAAACGAGAAGAAGCCGAACCTCTGCATTAGAGTAGTTTCAGAACTGTTTGTACTACAAACATGTGTATTACCCTTTCATCTGTTGACCTGTACTAAGCCCGATAGGGCATGAATGTACAATAAAGGTTAATGAACGCTGAGATTTCTGAGTTGCCTGTGAAGGTTACCTTCCACCGTGTGTTATCCACTACATACCGATGGTGTTAGTAGATCAGGGAGGTCGACGAAGAGGCTTCACCTAACCAGAAGGCACACCCCATGAATAAAACGATAAACTAGCTTATCATACTTATCATGCACTTCTTCTGGGCGTTGAAATTGTCGATAATGACACCGATGAAGAGATTAAGCGTGAAGAAGGAGCCAAAGATGATGAAGACGACGAAGTACAGGTAGAAGTACAGGCTGGTTTCTCTGTCTGGCTGCATTCCAACCTGGCAAAAGATATGAACATGTTCGTTTGTCAACATGAAAGTTCATCTGAGTTGGTAAATTACATTATGAAAAACTTATGAAAATTTTCGACTGAATCACTCAGTCGTCCTCACCTATCTGACCCAAATGCTGTGGACACGTGATTTTTCCCACGTGTGACGTCAGCAAAGGGTCTGTCTGAAGTCGATATAGCACATCCACATAGAATCACCGGGACACACAGTGGATCTGGAGGGGGTCAGAATCTTGGATACCGAACAGGATTACTTCAAGAGAGGCATAAAAGAGGCCATATACATCAGGGCACTTCAACCATCGCTCAACCAAGACGGGGGGCGATATCGACTTCAGACAACCTTTGACCTTTGCTGACGTCACACGTGGGAAAAATCACGTGTCCACAGCATTTGGGTCAGATAGCTGAGGAAGACTGAGTAATTCAGTAGAAAATTTCTTAATGTAAAAGTTTTTCATAATGTTCGTTTGTATTGTAAACATGTTGTGGTGAGTATCCCTATACCCTATATCCGCCCAGTCACTTCGAGAAGTGGATATGCATATTCAGTTGTAATACAACATAAAGTGACCATTTGAATGAAGTATACTCGAGTAGCATTCTGGTCACATTAAGCAATAACGTGAATGTGTAGTCAGCGTACTGAGAAAGACACCATAGAGCAATTTTCAGCAGAAAAAATTAACCAGATCTGAAGATGTCCTGGGAGATAATAGTTACATATGACAAATGTCCAGAATCCCTATGCCGATACAAACTTTATGTCTGGCCACTCCTACCTTTCGTTTGAAATGAAATTTGAGTCAAATTTGACCCCCGAACACGCCGCGAGCACTGTTAAAATCCTCCCAAACACCAGCCAACCCCTGGTCAACCATGGTCTAACCTCAAGCCCACCAAGGAATGTTTGTGAAACAATGTGTAGCCATCAGTAGCCAACCACAGCCGACCTTGCATGCTCACGAACTTCTCCCAAGCATGGCAGTGTTCGGGAGGGTATTTTCGGCTACAAACCCAACTCACTGTCAACCTCTGACTGGGTCATTAAACACGCTTCAAAACCTGCCTCAAGTCAACCTTGGACAAAAACTTTGGAAATGTCTTTCAAAGAAGGCAGATGATGGCACATTTTTGGTTACATCCCTTAGTCCCATGGTGCTCATCAATAAATAGACCCAAGAGACGAACGAAGTTACCCCTCTGACGTCCACAGCATCGGCCATGATTTCTATCCATCCTTTAAACGTTGCCTGAAACAGACAATAAAGAAGATCTATTGATTTACTGATTGAAGAAGATCTCAAATATGAAAATATGAAAGTTTCAGATATGAAATTATCACATAATTCGTTCTTATCGGTGTCATACTTTAGCAGAGCAATTTCTGCGTCAAAAGAGAGACAACGGCACAACCACGACTGACCTAAGACTTTGCTACCGTAGAACTATCGTAAGATGTGTTAGACAGGGGCCTTACAATTGTTAGCTGGACTCACCACTTGAAACAAAACCAGATAAGCTTGTCCCACGTTGTCAAAATTGATCTTGGAGTTGATCCAAGTGTAGTTTTTCATCAGGCACTCTTCTTTGTTGTCAGTGATGTTGATGGGTAGCCGTTTGTTGTTTTCATCTACACACTTTGTAACAAACAGTAGAGCATGATTATGTTCATATAGCGAAAAAGTGAAAAAAATGTGACCATGGTGATTAGTATATAGGTGATGTATATTTCATGTCAATAATTATACCATGACTTCTGTATACCTGTACGGTACAATGTAGGCACCATTTTGGTACGCAAGCTATAGGTGTCTGCCAAAACTGAGAGAAACAATTTATTTATTTATTTATTTGGCTTACAAAGAATCCAGGGTGTCCCAACTAGTCAACGACTATTACTAAGGGACACCCTGGGGGGGAAAGATGAAAACTGTTAGACATATACATAAGAATGCATATTACAAATTACATACTTAGTGAGATATACAGTTATATACAATGGTGTGATAATATATACATATATTTGTTAAAATACAATAATACAATGGTAGAGTCCTAGTATATACATGGTTGCCGAGGCGATATGTAATATGTTACAGAATGACAGAAAGAATTTATTGAATTTATTGTAGTTTCAGTATCTGCACATGTACAATCTGTGGTCCATTCCAGTCTCCTCGACTTGTAACTTTTTTGTTATGATTACAAAAGATCACCCTGTATCGCATTAGAACAGAACGAACCAACTAAGGACCAAACTAAGTATATTACTTGTAACTCTACTAGTATAGATGTTGAGAAAGAAGTGCTCAGAAAGTTATTCATCGAAACCTGTACTGGTAGAATAAATAAGTAAATAACTTGATTGTCCAGAAAGAGATTTCGATAGGGATCGAATCGCCGATTGTAAAGCAGAGACTCTATCGGGATCTCTACTGCCTTCTTTAACTATCATCAGTCAAGTCAAATACGGTAAGGCCACACCAAGTAAATTTTATGGATGACGTCCGCGCGCGCATTGATTTTAGCCTGTTCCTAGAAAAAAACACAAGAAATTCCGCTTCCTGTAACTATGACCAAAGAGTCACGACAGTGCTACAAATCGTTAGATTGACGTGAAACCCGTAACGCGAAATGGGTAAAGAGCACATGCTTTTGTTTCTGCAGGCCTGCAAAAATGTGATGAAAGAAACAGGACAGGACGACAACTGCTGTTCCACCTGATTTATTGCTGTTTTGATGATGAATAAAAGACTTCTTGCTTGTTACACTGTGTCACCTCATTCAATTTGTGTCCTAACATTTGTCGTCTCTTAGTATATTTCTAATCTAGGAATCTTGTTTTTTAGAGCCCTTCTTGTTTTTTTTGCGCCATCTCGCATTAGATTTAGGGTCTCCAAAGGACGTCATCCGTAAAATTTACTTGGTGTGGCCTAAGCTCTAAGAAAAATGTTCAAACCTTGAAGAACTGTCCCCCAAACAGTTGGACACCCATGATAGCGAAGATGAGCCAGAAGACAAGGCACACCATCAGCACGTTCATGATGGACGGGATGGCCTTCACCAGCGCGTTCACTACAACCTGGGAACATGGCGGGATGAATGATGTTGAATTTTTAATGCATGGACCAATTGGCAGCAAGAACCGACCGTTATAAAAAGAGCTCAATCCCATACTTTGTCACACTGTTGAACGATTCTGTATAGTAGGTAATCCGTACAGTCCTTTTGTGCCTACAGATTTTATTTAGTGTCCTTGTATTTAGTGTCCTTGTATATACTTTACTAGTATCTAAAAGAAAATAAGCTAGGGTTTTAAATAGTTGCGGCATTATGATTTTAATAAGTGATATGTAATATGTGCACCCAATTTAGCCTGTGGCTGCGATGTGAAACATGCCAATTGTACTGTTTATTGTATTTGTGAAATACCAATATATATATATGTTCATGCATGACCGGGCAGGCTATACGATATTAATCTCCAATCTGACCATATATACTGTGGCAAGGTAGTGTCAATTGGCCATAGGAGTGTCCATTAGCCACCTAGGGGGCTGCTTGATGATTATACGATATAGCGAAATACCACTGTACGGTATAATACTGGGAAACGAAAGTACAGTGGATTCTTGATTTAAAGTATACGGTCTCAAACCTGATGCGTTCCTCTACAATTCAGCGCAGTTTTCACCTCGCTGTCCCGCACGGAAGAATTTCTACAGCTTTCTCAAGCACTACGCCGCACTACTTTGTGCCCGAGCTACTATTGCCGGGGTTCGCCCATAAATACTGTGCTATGTGACCTCTACCGGAGAAGAGGCCGACCTAACCTGACACTAATAAAAGTGTTAGAAGGTGGTGAGAACGACGGTGATCTGTGTAACCGCCATGCTAGACAGGAGCATATGACGGGGCATCAGTGTACCCACCTCTGGATGAACTCAGTTTCACGTTCAATTCCACGGATATACCTGACATGTTGGGACAAGTACGCTAATGGCTGAAATTTATGTATTTTTTTCATATTTAGAGGGTTTGAGGGTGTACGCGTCAGAATTACGCAAGTTATCATAACATCATTTTCTAAAAACGGTCCTGATTTGAATCCTTTGTAACGAATGAAACATCAAGGAAGCCCAGTTACAGCATCTTGCAGTTAAATTGGTCACCTATACACACCTGGTAAAGCTTTGGTCCCAATTGGAGAAAGAGGCCCTGCCGGATAGTCCCCGAGCTGTTTTTTGGCACTTTCGGGCGTGACCCCTACGTGGCCCGGTCGGACACCCCGCGGCGACCGGGCTATTTTTGGGCCCGGCGGGGACCCGAGAAGAATTTGATCCTGACTTAAATTCTACCCGGGCCCCGCTGACAAAAAGACCGACAAAAAGACCGAGCTGTTGGAACACCGACAGGTACCCCTCCGGTTGCCGGCAGTCCACCGGGACTAATTTGTCACGTCACAGACCAGATACCCACAATAAGGGTGTGTACTTCGTAAGACTGTGTCAAATGTGTGACGTCACAAATCAAATGATCACAACAAAAGCGTGAACTCTGTATTAGACCACGGTCACATTTCCAAGCCGGGGCCCGACCGGGTTGTTTGCGTGAACGAAAAAGAAACAATTTGTACAAAGAGAATACACAAATAGTGCTCAAGGTTAATTTTCTAAAACTTTTTTTGTGTTTTGCTGTCTCATATCATAATTTTCGTTCCAAACGACTGCCCGGCCGGGCCCCGGCTTGGGAAATGTGACCGCGCCTTTAATTGGGTCAGTACAAGACATCGTCAGAGAAGCTGCCGGGTACCTGCCGGGTGCCTGTCGGAGACCGACCAATATTAAAGTGTGACAAAATGCCACTGAAGGAAACTTTTAATTGTGACCACAACAAACGGTGCCCGCCAGGCTCCAGAGTGCAATTGGGACCGAAGCTTAAGACACAAATTACCTGTTTGATGTAGGTGCATTCACTGTGATTACTTAAACTAGATAGGGTACTTACCCTCATGCCCTCCGCTCTAGAGATTGCTCTCAGTGGCCGTAACGCTCTCAGTGTTCGCATGGACCTGAATGCCGACAGATTAGAAAGGCCAAGAGCCTCCGCCCCTATTCCGAGCAGGGAAATCTGGAACGATGCACCAAAACGTCTGGTACGATTCATCAGTACTGCGCATGAGCAATGCAACCTGACCGTATGACGTGATGATGACCTCAGCCTTTCCCGTGCCAGAAACTGCTTTTCCAAACCTACGAAACCATGCTAAACAGCCAGCATTGAGTTTTGAGCAATTTCGGAAAACTGGAGAGGATAGATTGGTGAAAAAAAACAACAACGGAGATGCTATATAGATATTGTGTCAAGAAAAGATTAAAGTAATAAAGGTTAAGGTTTTTTGCCTCTGGACAGAGGATGAAAAAGGCACTCAGCTTAGACAGGCACTGGTTTTACCATGTTGTAAATAACTTCGGGATGCGAAGCGTGTGTGGTTTGATATCTCTGGCGTAACGTAACGTAGAGGTAACGCATAAAGTGAATCATTGAGAACACCACGTATCTCAACAACACATGGGCAGAGCCAACAATTATGTTTACCGAAGGAAAACATATTGTTTTTACTCAGTTTCTTCCTCCTCTTCTGTTCCAAACACTAACCTCTGACCTGGCCAATGACATGATTTGTTGACGTCTGTCACCATGGTGACTGGTGTTGGGTTACATAATGTTGCAATTTCATGGTCTGCTCTACTCCTGTTACCATACACTCGTAGTACATGTATGTGAATGTGTTAAAGTAAAAATTAACAGGGCAGATCATGTCCAAAGGTAAATATTATGCATTTGATTTGGAAATGTTACTTCTCTAGTGTTTTGTCCGCATTAGTTGTTGAAAGAATTACTTTTTCTTCACCTGAGTAACACGGGTTATTAAGCATGCGGTGCACAAACAAGGCGAATTTACTGTGATCTGTCTGTTGGGTACTTTTTTTGTAAATCGTTTTATCCTTCTGGTAGAACAATCAGAGGAGAAATGTTGCTCCCTAGCATGATCAATAACTGTAGACCACAATACCCATTTTCGCATGTTTTGCAGATTTCAGTATGGCATTGTTAGAAATGACCCCATATTTAGAATGAACAGGCTCCGTACATGGGAAAATGACTTCAACTGATGATGACACACGGAGCACGCCTAGTGCACTACAGCTAGCTAGACATTTCTCTCGATAACAAAATGGTGACACTAGGGCACGTCTAGTAGCAACCAGTAATTTCTATTACACTAAGATATTATTTGAAGAAAAAGAGAGATATTATTTGAATAAGGAGAACGAATACTAAAAACAGCATAGACTGAAATAATAAAATATGGTGTCGAAATGTGTTGCGCTCATGCAAACAATGAAAAACAATGAAACTATATAACAAAGTTATTTATTTCTGTTTCTTGATTTTGTTTAATTAATCAATTATTTCATTGTTTAATTTTGATGTTTGATTCAAATATGTTTTGTCATAAGTTACCTTTGTTTGGGGTAGGCCCTTTAAAAAACACCTAGGTTTCTGGCCTACCCCGCATATTCTTTGATTGTGTAATTTTTTTATATACGTGCAAATGGTAAATAAACAAATAAAAAAAGTGGACAGTGATTTTTCGTCGATGACAAAAATAATGGCGACACAAGAAAGCACGAACCCCGCCAGGGCCTACGTAAAGCCTTGTACAGCTCGATGGCGGTGATATTCCTTCCCTTGGCTTTAACATTTTGCTCCGCCCATGTAGTTTAAAGACAGCCGGTGTCATCAATTATCCAGCTATACTGGTGCTTCTGCGTTACGACTTTGAAAGATCTTTTTTTTTCACGCGGACATCAAACGAGGGAGAAAGACAACTATATCAGGATACCGTCGTAAGGCAATGCAATCTATAAAGTTACTGAAAAGCGTGGTAGTTGAGTTTAATGGAAACAAATATCGTTCACAATACAGTTAAACCTGGCCAGACAACCACCAATCGCTACATACTACCCCCAATCATGTTAAAACCGTTCCGTCCAATTTTACATACTTAGGATACAACATCTCAATCAATTGGTTTCACTCCTCAATTTACTATATACTGCACTTTCCAAAATACTTTTCTACAAAATCAGTCTTAAAATCATTTGCTAAAACAATTTACATAAATCATATCACTGCCCTTCACAGAACAGAAACATGTCAGTGTTTCATGGGAGAGAGGCATCCTTATTATGGCTTCCCCACACCACGAATGAAGACATGCTGCTTTCTCTCATGCTTCTCCTCCTCCTACCATTTCTTTAAAGGGATTCAACTCTGCCATTTTTCAGCCGAATGAAATGAAATTTGGCATGGAGGTAGAGTGAGCAAATACCCCCAGACGTTTTTTTTTTAAACAGGCCTTAAAATTTTTTTGGGTCATTTTCAGGCAAAAATGTACATTTTGGCTCCTGTGCCCTAATATTGAAACCAAATGACCTGAAATTTGTCATAGGAGACCTTGGATACAATCCCACAGAACTTAATTTACGCTTTAATTTTTTTTACTTTAATTAATTTTACGACTGTTTTGCTATTTTTGACCAAAAAGGTACATTTTTTTCGCTTCTAGCGATCTATGCGCTAATACAAAACCCCCAAAATGACCTGTAATTCAGCATAAGGATATCGTGGCACCAAATTCGTAGCCTATAGTTTTCACTATTCAGATGCAACCCTTTGAAATACTTTGATTTACCTTATTTTGAGTAAAAGCAACGATTGTAGCTTGAAAACTTGAAAACCCAAATCCCCAACTGACAGTTCTAAATAGAACACTCGGGTTCTACCAGGGTTCTACATGTTTCAACAGCAGAAGGCGTTCGAAGATTCCATTGCTTCGAATTCCATTGTATAGACTATTGGAACACTTCATATTTTGGACAGGGTTGATTTAGGAACAGTCCATTTGTCCGGGATGTGCTGCTGCATTTGCTCCCAAACAAATGTCGGCCTTTCTTGTTTTGATTTGTTATTCAGTACGTTAATTCTGTTTACAGGAAACTAGGAAATTATGATAATACGTGTAAATAGAAGTATACTTGTTCTGTTCATTTTTTGCCTGCGAATATTTTATCTACATTGTTTATGATCTTTACATATCTAAAGTACATACATAAAATGATTGTCAACAAACACTTAATTGGTGCTAAACAGCTTTTTTTGCAGTCCCAATTGAGCTTTCTTGGCTACGAAATCAGTGAAGCACATGTTAGCAGTTTTAACATACGAGCCCACATTTCATTGTTATACGAACATGTCTGTTGTGGTTAAACAATGGCTTGTTAAAATCTATTTGAATAGCAATATAACATTTATGAGCCCTTCATTTTCTGGGAATTACTAGGTATGTCGAGTGTATATTGTGCAAATGTACTGTGCATGGATGAGTGGTTGTTGAGACCAGGTTTTTCTGTATAACAATTACGCTGATTCATCACAATCAGGTACTAAAGATCAGATACAATCAGATAGTAAAGATCATCAAATTCAAGGAGTATATACAAGAATACGAGAAGATATCAACATAAGTGATAGAAGGGATGAAGGGTTAGGCCACAGCAAGTAAATTTTATGGATGACATCCTCCGCAGACTCCAAATCTAATGCGAGCGGGCGAAAAAAAACAAGGCGGGTCGAAAAAAAACAAGGTTCCTACAATTGAAAAATTTGACCATGAAGGTTTTACCTCCATGATTTGACTCAATCATTGTACAAATGATTTTTATTCAGTGGGAACATCACATATACACATCCAGCATCACATATCACTGCATCAAAGTAAGAAGCAAAACATTAAATCAGAGCCTTTGCCCATTTTCGGCATGTTGACCACTGTCAGAAAGCAACATAATTTCTTGTTTTTTTCCCCAAAATCAGGCGAAAATTAGTACGCGCTGATGTCATCCATAAAATTACTTCCTATAGCCTTAGTAAGATTAAGCGGTGTTCAGGAGTGAAACCGACGTTGCTGAAGACTCATAGAGGCATTCATTTCGAGGTTCGCGATAAGCATGTTGGGGAGGGGGGGTGGTAATGAACCATGTGTTACGTGATGAATCTGGTGGCTACCCTGTTAGCGACAGCCGAGAATCTTGAGACAACATGTACATACAGGTCTGTAGTGTCGGCGATCCGGGACAGAGTAAGGTTTGCATTTGTTACTTACCATAACGATGACAAAGTCCAACCAACACCAGGCATTGGTGAAGTATTTCCTGTAGCCAAATGCAACCCACTTTATGAGCATCTCACCGCAGAAAATCACGGCAAACAGCCGATCCGCGATGTTCAGGCCAAGCTGCAAGGCGGGTCTGTCTTTTAAATAAATATCTTCGAAAGCCTAAAGGAAGAAAACAGAATATTTTTGTTGCAACACATTTTTCTATCAAGATAGGGAAAAGCTCTGTGCAATGGAAGAAGTTCATCAGGACAACTGCAACCATGGGGCTTTGTCTCAAATATGCTGACCAAAGCCATCATATTACATTTGTTACGTGCCTTTGAAATGTGCCTTCTGTATGAAGTCTGATGATAGAATGTTTTGATTCCATGCTCTGGAATATGAAAAGTTTTATCAATGTGTGATTAAACAAATAACCTTACCAGCGCCAAGCTGCTCAGTAAAATCATCCCAACGATAAATGTCTCGAAGTACTTGTGAAGAACGATGAAGTTTGCTTTTAGCCGAACATTCTTCCACATTTCCCCAGCTTTCCTCTCCTCGTTGGCACATGCACAGCATTTGTAGCAGCATGGATAACAGACAGGAGGACAGCAATCGATGATTACATCTGGATCTTCGTTTTCTTCGTCCTGGACATTTCCGTGGCTGGTGCTCTGTTCTACTGACTGAGCACCCTTCTGTTCACTGGCACTGTTGTCTGGTCGATTCCCTGCTTTGCAGTTGACATGTTTGCCATTTTCTCCAACCGGGGACGATTGTGCTGCCCCGAATTCAATAACAATGCCAAGGTCATCTGCGCCCTTCATGGGAACAAAGTAGGAGTGACGTGTCAGTAGACAGTAAGGAAAGTTTGGAGAAACACCTGAAATTCTTGGTATCTGCCACCCAAATCAGTAACGCTAAGTTTGATTATTTGAATTTGATCGATCATATCTCCATGACCTCTATGAAAAATTGGGGTATTAGTTGTGGTGTGTCTGTGTGTATAGCGTCTTGAGTTATGCTGTTCACAAACAAACAAACAAACAAACAAACGGACAGACGCCACTTAAAACATCACCGTTTTGGGGAATGTAACAACTACAAACCTAATTCTGTCATACCATCTTTTATGAAGATATTGGAGAAGGTAATTCATGCACAGGTTTACACGTACCTTCAGGAACACAACATACTAAACCAGGACTAAACCATAGTAAATCAGGATTTGGACCAAAATACAACGCACCCGTAGCTTCAACCAAAGATATCTGGGGTCCCAATGTTCCTTTCGAATGCATAATCTACCTGTGCGTAGACAAACTAGTTCCGTTTAGAATTCAGTCAATGATATTCATCATCATCATCATCACTATCCATTAAAAAAGTCAATTCGAACTCCATTCAAAGATATTGGTAGACACATTTTTCTAAAAACAAAAATCTCCCAACTGCGTAAATGTAATAAATTATGTGTAACGGAATGTCTCTCTTGCTACAATAACCCAAGAGTGAATATGGACAGTTTTTTTAAACCTAATTGGCTTGATTTTCAAGGTAGCCCAAGTGTTTCCTTTATTTGAGGCAGACAAGATATTGTTGTCTAGTGCAACAGTGGAGGTATATAGGCGCTACCAACTGACCCGGCCGATGGGTCTAGACCTTTTAGCGGAGTGGTTAGAGCGTCTGGTTATGAAGCTCTGGTGCTCGGGGCCGTGGGTTCGAACCGGCCCGGGACCAGAAGGGTTTTTACTGGCTCCGCATGTTTCTTACAGTGGTTTCCACACCGGGAATCGAACCCGGGCCTTGGCGGTGAGAGCGCAAAATCCTAACCACTAGACCATATCGGAAGCGCCTATATACCCCCACTGTTACACTACACTTAACGAAAGAGGTACAATATGTGGAGCCTGTGGAAGCAAGTTACCTTTTCTGATATCCTATGGTTACAGACTGGTGTTTGGTTTGAAGCAGCGTCCTTTATCTGCACAGGTCCACCGGTGGGTGTATGGCCGTTCATGGAAGGAGTAGGAACAACGATTGTGACGTCATAGTTGGAGCCGAATTTACACAGAGGCGCTGGTGCGGCCGATTCCAACAGAAAATGTGATGACGTCACTGTTGGTAAAGTTTCTGCAGCCTCCTCTGGAAGATTGACGGAGTACACATAAACAGTAACCTACAGCGTATTAGTGTTAGAAATGATACCCACAGATGGTTTGCAATTAAACTACGTCTATACAGATTATTAAAACTTTCCTATAACGAAGAAAAATATCTCAGCGAACATACGTCACAGGTCCTCCATTACAAAACTAAGAATCAGAGAATCAGTCACAAATTACGAATCGAATCAGGAAGACATAACCGCACTCCTCTAGCACAAAGAACCTGTCAATTCTGTAGTTTAGGCCAAATAGAAGATGAAATACATTTCACCATAGATTGCCCCTTGTACAGTAGAGATAGACTCATATTTTTAGCCATATATTAAGTATATTTCCCCACTTCAGATATTTGACTAGTAAAGAGAAAGTTGTATTCCTTTTAACTTTTGATAAACCTACGCTAAGTAATCTCACAGCCGCATATATCCATACAATCACTACTAAGCGAGAAGCCGAAAATAATAGAAATTAGACATTTATCTACACTCTTATATGTTCATATGTAATGTATATGTTTATGTTCATGTTCTGTACCCATGCGACCTGTACTTAGTTCTGTAGAATACAAATGTACAATAAAGGTCTTCATTCATTAAAACTCTATTTTTAACAAGAAACGTAATAGATTACCTACCCGCATCTTGTTCTGCAGCTTCCTCAGAGTTTGCCAGGTCCGCAGTATGTTGCTCGTTGCACTTTCCTTTCCCTTTCCTCCTTTCTCTCCAAAAACTTGGGCGGCAGAAGTCCAGTAACATGTGTGCCCACCGTTTGAGTTTCTCTACTGCCAGTTGAAGATTGTTCGGTTCACCATCACCTTCCGGCCGGTCAGCTAGAGAATCTGCACTGAAGCAGCTCAGCAGCAAAGCAAGGAACAGATTCAGGATCTAAACAGGTGGAAAAACAACACAAGTCATGACATTCTTAACTTAAACGTCTTGAGCCGTTGATAAGAATTGTCAAGGCCATATTAGTCTGTTATCTTTTTGATTTAAAACAAAATCGGAGAAAAAAGAAAACGGATGTTGTACATTCAATACAAAGGCATATGAACCTTCCCCACGTGGGAGTTTCTATTTCGAGATAAACACCAGCACCTACACTGGTGTTGTATCAAGAACCGTGCTTTATATTTATTAATTTATTTGCATGTTCATGCCCATGGGGCTAAATGCATACATCAGAGTGTGATGTTACCTGTACATCATACTGAGTAACATGATACATAGGATACAAGGATAGAAGAATAACAGAATGACGCAAAAGTCTTAAAGACTACTAGAGAATAAACTAATCTAGGCCTTAAGGATTTCTTCTCTCTTTTTAAAGTAATTGAAGATAAATTCACAAAGTTTTTCTATTGTATGGTCATTACTGGTGGACATGAGATGACTGAATATCTCTTTCTTTATTCTACCTTTATACAGTTTGTCTAAGTAGATTGTTCTAAATAGTGTGTCACGTTCAATATCAAACAATTTACAATCAAGTACAAAATGTATTTCATCTTCTGCACTACCAGAGTTACACACCTTACAGAGTCTATCTTCTACAGGAGTCCGGTTATGTGCCGGTTTCTATGTGTAAATTATGGTCACTAATTCGTAGTTTTGACATGGTTCGGCGATGCTCGGGATTTGGGATACTTAGGTATTTTTCTTTACCATATGCAACTTTGAACAGTTTGTATGTGCTTATATCTGAACCATGCTCAGGCACGGTCTTAGGTAGTCCTCGCGTATCCAGAACCGTGCCTGTGACGTGAAGACTATCCAGAGCCGTGCCTGACCCAATCATAAACCTATTCAGGTACAGAACTACATGTAGATAGATTCTATAGTGATACTGAGAGCTGACTGTCTACTGTACACAATACTACTGATGTCCGGAAACCCAGTCGACAAGCCATTCACCAATTTCACACTTCCCATAATGCCTAGTAACGGTCACGGATATGCAGGGATATGGCGTAAGAACCTCCCCCCTACCCCTTCCTCGATGTAATATTTCCAACAAATTTTATCGACAAACTGGTCAACTATTGTATGGCATGTGCTTTATACTAGATAAATAATTCAAAACAATAGTTGACCAGTTTGTCGATAGAATTTGTTGGAAATATTACATCGAGGAAGGGGGAGGGGGGATGTTCTTACGTCATATCACTGCATATCCGTGACCGTTACTAGGCATTATGGGAAGTGTAAAATTGGTGAATGGGCAGTGAAACCGGCTCCCTGACCTATACAGTGCATGCCCAACCCTGAACTTATCACTTTCATTTCGTCCATTGGAAATATCCAAACCACTAGCAGACCAGTTGTTTGCGCAATGCTGACCAAAGGTCGGACTGGACACTATACTAGGACACAAAACATCTCTATAGAGCCAGATAATTGCTGGTATTTTTTTGGGGGGGGGGAGGGGGGTAATCTGTGTTTAAATCAAAGGTTTGTAGGACTGTAAAACAACTTGTGAAAAATGAGCAAGTTACCACGTGAGAGTTGAAATATCCGGGCACTATCAAATCTTTTTAAATGGTCAATGTTTTTCTTTCGGCCATAGTTGAGTCTGGGTCTGAATGTATGTCAGCAACATAACTCGAGAAGCTGTGGATGGGTCTTCATGTTATTTGATAGGGGATTTCTTGTATGTGCACAGCAGAACTCAAGAAGCTGTGAATGGATCTTAATGATTGAATAGCAAAGTTCTTTCTATCACAACCATTTATTTTTCAAGCCAACGTTTCGATGACCTGTCATCTTCATCAGGGCAATTCTGACTGGTTTACTGTGCACTGACACTAGATGTTACTTGGTGCATAGTGCACTTAAGGTGTTACATAGTTCACAGTGCACTTATGCTAGTTTTGTCTGTTTACAATGCGTTCCGGAACGTAGTGTAATTGTGACATGCATACTAGGCGTTGTTACATCATAGGGAAATATGCGGTTCCAACTGTAAAGTGTTTCTATTTATAATACAAGGAAAATCGTAGATTTTGTACCTCCGGGTATTGTAATGTATGTTGCAGAATGTTGGGTGCATGTTGGGACTGTTCTTTAAATTAACTAGTGAATTCGCGCGAATACCATTTTTTTTCGAAAAGTTTCGAAATGTTTGTAATTGGCCAAATGATCTGTGAAATCACTACTCCCCCCTAGCCGACTGGAGCCCAAAAATAGAAAGGACAGGAGGCATCCCGTGGCGAATCTGGCTGCCCGACCCTCAGCGACCAGCGATAATGTAAACAAACACCCACACAAACGGCCGCGTGAGAAATCAACTTGCTCTCGAAAATTTATCAAGCCGACCGCTTCCCCCCGCGGCTGCCATCCCTCCCCATTTATCCCACACTAGTTCAAATCACGCTCGGTCTTCAAGTATATCTTAGTGGATGATGAAAATCAGAAAACAACACGGAAATCCCCACCGAAGTTCGAAAACACAGGGACTGAGAGGCTTTGTACAGACACCCGGCCAGATCCGGACGCAAGGAGAGCCAGGGCGGAAATCAGGGTCGGCGGGGCGTGTGGCTTTCCCTGGCCGAAAGATTATCGCTCACTCGCGGTAGGGGATGGCACCCAAGCTAGCTCCAGGATAACATCGGCTACCCCGAGCCGAGTGTGCTGATTGATTGGCGAAGATGTAACCATCATCATCATCATCTCATCTCCGTTACTGCCTAGCCCTACCATGTAGGATTATTGGCAGCCGTTACGCATTGATTAGTTACAATTGTGATCCAGTACATAAAAACAAGGTAAAACAAGGATAAATGAGAAGGGAACATAAGACAACTGATTTTGTGTGTGCTAAAGACGGGACAAGTGCATTAGTGCGTTAGTAATATTTACATATATACAAGACATGATGGGGTGGCTCAATGCAGCAGGGTCCTCGCCAGTTCAGATTTGAACTGGGCAAGAGACCCCGCCTCCGCCGCACCAGGCTCAAGTTCATTCCATTCCCTGATGGTGCGGGGGAAGAACGAGAGCCTGTAGAAGTTGGTTCTGCTCGCGATGGCCTGCAATGTTTGAGTGTGATTGATGCGACGGGAGCATCGAGCCATCGGGACAATCCTGGTTGAGTGTGGGACGGAGACAGCGTTATGTATGATCTTATAAAGCATGACCTGGCGGGCGATCTTCCGGCGTACTTCCAGAGACTGCCAGCCCAGGTTTTGCAACATAGATGAAACAGAACTTGCACGTCTGTAGTCACTGCAGACAAAACGGGCAGCTCTACGCTGGACCATCTCCACTCTACTCACCTGGTCCTTGGTGTGGGGATCCCAGACACTACAGCCGTACTCTAAGGAGGGTCTTACAAGAGCCATGTAAGCTCTCTCCTTTGCCGCATTGCTTGAGATTCGTAGGCAGCGTCTCAGCATTCCTAAGGTTCTGTTTGCTTTCGCTGTAACTAGATCGACATGTCTGCCCCAGGTCAAGTTTGAGGAGATGGAAACACCGAGATATTTGGTGGTACTTACCTTGGTTAAAACGTGGTCATGGAGGGAATAAGGGAACGTTATTGGGTTCCTAGAAGAGGGGACGGTCATCACTTCACATTTAGATGGGTTGAAGGCCATCAACCACTCCTTCTCCCAACTACAAATACTATCGATGTCATGCTGCAGTCTTTTACAGTCGTCTTCTTCCTTGATACTCATTTGCAAGATGCAATCGTCGGCGAAGAGCCTGACTTTAGCATGTGCAGCGTATTTAGGAAGATCATTGATGTATGCTAGAAAGAGAATC